CCCGATTTGTAAACACTATGCTACCACTACCTACAAAGTCAACCCTTTGAGTCAATGGAATGTAAATCAGAAATGTTAATATTTATAAAGTGTATTGTTTAGCTTTTATGTAAAGTATTTCACTTTCTCTTATCACATTTCTGGGGGAGTTCACCACCTATTTGTTGCTTACTCAGTGCCGATGAGTCTGTTCTAACTCAGTGACCCTGCTTAGGGTTTCCGTGGAGCAGCTGGTGGATTTGAACTGCCAACCTTGAGTTTCACAGTCCAGTGCTAATCCTTCAGCACCATACCAGGAGTCCAAAGACTCCTATATTGTTGTTAAGTGCTGTAGAGTCGATTCCAACTCATAGCTACACTGTCTAGGGTTTCTGAGGAGCAGCACTATAGTGAGTTTGAACCGCCGAACTTGTGGTTCAAACCGACCTTGTGGTCCAGTGCTTATCTTACAGTGTCACACAAGGACTCCTATATAAGACCTCAAATGTTAATGACTTTTTTTTCTCCATAAGTGAGTGGATTTGTTTTCTCTGTGCACATTGGTTGGTTTAAATTTCATAAATCTAAATAGAAGTTTTCTTTTAAAATCAATTTAAAAGGGAATATTAAAGTAGTATGCAGAAGAGGAAGTTTGTGCAAGTTGTATGTTTGTCTTACCATGTGTTAAAGTTTTGAGATTTTAAAGTGTATTATTTACATATGGGAAAAAATGAACTCCATTAGTTTTGGTAGTTTGCCTTTAAAAATAATTGCTGCTGAATCTCCAAGTGAACAGAATTACAGCAATTGTGCTAGAATAATAGAGAAGTTGATGTTTTTGCATCAGAGCTGTCACGTCTGTTGAGAAATTGTCAGAATTTTGAGTGACATTGACAAAGCAAAATAGTATATTTACTAAAATGAAAATGCAATGTAGGTATCGTCTTAAGTTACAGATTTTGGATATGTGCTCAAGTTAGGGTTCTGCAACTTGTTAATGAGGTATCCACATGCATATTATTTAACTTCTCAGAATATAAATTTACAGAAAGTACCTGTCAAAAGCAGCTCCTTAGGTTACTCTGAGAATTAATTTATATGAGGGGACTTCCAAAAGTTCATGGAAAACTTCTATTATCTTTAATTCCTTTTTCCATGAACTTTTGGAAGCTCCCTCCTATGTGTAATGCCTGGTTCAAGTGCTTGGCTTATAGAAACAATCAGTGAATAAATAGTAGCTATTATTTTTCCTTCAAAATTTATTAAAGCAAGATAATGGTGGTGGTTATGTGCTATGAAGTTGGTTCCTACTCTTAGTGACCCTGTATAGATTTTCTGAGGCAGTAAATCTTAATGGGAACAGAAAGCCTCATTATGCTACCAGAGCTCCTCAGAGTAGAACACTGGAAGATACATTTTTATGTGAGAGAAGGGCCCAATACTTAGCATCTAGAGAGATTATATGTAGGTACAGAAAAGGTTTATAAAGAATTAGTTGGTTTTAGCAAGATGTATAGAGGAAGACCCCCAACGAGATGGATTGGCCAGGTGGCATCATTGATGATGCCAGTGTGGCAGCGGTAGTGAGGTTGGCCCAGGATCAGACATTGTTTCGTTCTGCTATGCACGGGGTGGCTATGAGTCGGTTCCGACTCGATGGCACCTGACAACAACAACAACAGGATGATGTATGAGTTTAATAATATCTAGGAAACAATGTTAACAAAAATTATTTGTGAGTTTTAAAATCATAGTTTTATTACAGTCAGTCCTCATAATGCAAATCCTAGTCTAATGGTTTCATATTTGAGTTAGGAAATTTTGAATATTTGAAAAAGTAAACATGCTGAGGAATTTCTTTGAAAGTGTGAACATAGAAGAACAGTGAGGAGTTCCCAAGAGAAATGTTTCCTACTTTCTGACTTTCCAGATGTTGAGAACTCTTAAATTTGTGTTGCGCTACTTGTAGCAACAGTTACAATTATAACCATCTTAGAACAGTTTTGGAGTTGTGTGTTTTTATGTATGACCTAATACCACTATATTCTTTGCTGTCCCTGTTGTTGTTAAGTGCCGTCGAGTTGGGTCCGACCCATAGCGACCCTGTATAGGGTTTCCAAGGAGCAGCTGGAGATCTTGAACTGCCAACCTTACAGTTCAAACGGCTTTGCAGTCTGGCGCGTTAACCCACAGCGCCACGCCAGGACTCCTTCCCCTTTTTTAAAGAGCTTTATATCAGCTGGGGAATAAGCAGAGTTTGGAGTCCTGGTGTGACAGCTCTGTGGTTTAATGCACTGGACTGCAAAGTTGATTTGAACCACTGTTCAAGCTCCCCAGCCACTCGTGGGAAACCCTGTACAGGGTTGCTATGGGTCAGACTCAACAGCACTTAACAACAACAAGAGGCAGAATTTGATATTCAAAAATTGTCTTTACCTTTCAGGCATCTAGTTCATGTAGTAGTCACACATTTCTCTAATGAATACAAAAAGAGTTAACATCTCTGTATAATGAGAAAAGATTACCAAGCACCAACTGGTCACCACTTAATTAAAGAAATTTTATGAGATCCGTGGTATTGCGTACAACATAGAATTAAATAATTCATTAGAGTTTTGTGGTAACCTGTGTAAGGTATGTCTGAATAATTCCCATTTTTCCTTGTGGATGGAGAGCAGTGGTATTAGTGATATGCCTAGTAGTAAACTCAGTTATTTTTACTTTGTGTGTGTCTTAGTTTCTTAGCACTGCCGCTTTAACAGAATTGTATTTTTTTTTTACAGTTTAGAAATCTTCAAGTACAAATTTAGGATACTGCTTCTAGGAGGAGAGGCTATCTTTTCTATAGGGTAGGAATAACCTTGTCTCTTTCTCACTTCCTCAGTTCCTTGGCAAAGACAATATGGTATTAGTCTTTACCATTTGTACACACTTCTGTGCCTAATCTGCTTGTTTATATCTCAAGTGATTGCAAAGTTTTGTACTTGGCTTGTATGTTTATTTTAACTGGTATTTATTTAGTAATACTGATGGACCACCTAATGTGTACCAGAAACCATACTAGGCTCTGAGAATACAGAGATGAACAGAAGCAGGCATGGTCTCAGCTATTGTGGAGTTTACTTTTACTGATGGGCAAGAGAAAAATTAGTGACATAAGTATACCCAGGTATGTGTTTTAAGAGAGGATGAATGAAAAAGAGGAAGACCCTCAATGAGATGGATTGACACAGTGACTACAGCAGTGGGCTCAAACATAGCATCAGTTGTGAGGATGATGTAGAACCGGACAGTGTTTTGTTCTGTTGTGTGTATGGTTATCATGAGTTAGAACCGACTCCATGGTACCAAACAACAGCATGCATTTTGAGGAAAAGGGACACAGTTCTCTGAGATAATGTATGTAACAAAGGAAAGGACATATTTTTATGTGACTAACGCATGTATTATGATTCTTTGCAAACTGTGCAACCTCCTCACATGTAGTTTCCTATGCTACCAGGGTTCCTTTCAGTGAGCTTTGGGATCTTTTATTTTCTAACAAGATATAAGCTTTTCAAGAACACTGCCTCATTCTCTACCCCAGTAAAAACAAAAAAGTTCTTTATCTTAGGTATCCCCGTTGCACAAGCTTTTAACATTGATTTTCCACAGTATATTTTTTTTCAGTGCTGTATTTTTATACCTGTTGTTAAATGCTGTTGAGTCAGTTCCAATGCATAGCGACCCCGTATAGGGTTTCTGAGGAGCAATTGGGTTTGAACGGCCGAACCACCAACTGTGGTTCACAGTCTACTGCTTATCCTACATTGCCACAACAGGACTCTTCACTTACTATCTCATTATCCAGCGTTTCACATTTACATCAACAGTGGGGAAAAGAAGTACTATTTTGCACATTAACGATGCACATCTGGCAGTAACAGACACCAACGTATGAGGAGATATAACGCTGACTTTGATGATTAAGGCTGTGTGTCATGTTTGCCTACCCTGATATTTCCCAGTGGTTTGGTTGTTGTGTTGTTTGTACGTGACATCAAGTTGGTTCCAACTCAGTGAACCTGTATAGGATTTCCAAGGAGTGGCTGGTGGGTTTGAACTGCCAACCCTGCAGTTAGCAGCCCAGTGTTTATCCTACAGCATCACATCAGGTCTCTGGAATGATACAGTTTGGCAGTTATGAAATGATGTTGTTATCTTCCTTTGGAAATCTGATCTAGCCATCTTCCATTTTCACATCAGAAACACTGGGTTTTGCATAATGACCTTTTCTTTGGAACCCTACCACGATGATAAGTGAGAAGTGGGTGTATTATTTTACCTATCTTTCTCCCCGTTATCACTCATCATTGTTCTTTCTTGACTATCACAGTGTCTGGTACCTATAAGGATTGGATAAGCATTCTGTTTTCTGTTCTGTCTACTTTATAATTGATTACCCATTTATTGAGCACTTAACTTTGCCATGTGTGTGGGAGATCCTGACACACACACACACACAACACCCTACCTTTGAGCTTTTTATTCATTTTACACATGTTAACTGTGCCTTCTTTTATTAACGTGCGTGAATTTTTTTTTTCTTTGATAACACCTTTGTATTATTTGTACCGATCTAGAGTCAAGAATCACTGCTTACTAGAACTTCAGAGTGTCGCTTTTGAAATCTTTAAACTAGGTGAACTGCACAACTTCTTGTAAACTGCAGGCTGCCATGTTGAAATGTGTTCACTCCCAAGTTCAACTCCTTGGTTGTCGGGGATTCCCACTGTGCCTGTCAAGAGTGCCACAGAGCTAGGGTTTCCTTGGTTAGAGTCCAAGGCAAAGCTTTGTAATGATTTTCTTCTGATTTACATACTAACTTGAATCTTTTTTCTTTCTAGATTACAGCAAAGGCATCTATCATTTTTGTTACTCTTCAGTACAATGTTACAGTCCCTACAACAGGTAGGTACTTTTCTTTTAGAAATTTCTATTAAGTAGAAGAGTTTAGTTAAACAAGCAAGGAAACATTTATGAATATTAGGTATAGCATTAATCCTCACAAATCTCATCCATGATTATTTTGATGATCATTGTAATGCAAGAGCTGACATTGTTGGTTGACTTCATCCCATGCATCTTATAAAAAAATATTTTATAAGTGTGATGTTTATATATTGTTACAGATGAGCTTGAAGTTTCATTAAAATGATTTTTTTTTGGTTGCCTTCTCTGCCCTCTGATCTTTTCATGTGAAAATTCTAAGAATAAATATTTAAATTTTACTTAAAGTGCCCTCGTTGAGTGAGGACCTCTAAAGACACAGTGGTCAGGTTTAATTTTCTAATTTAAGATTCATATTCTTGACTTGTACTAACAATCCTGGCGTGGCACTGTGGGATAAAGCACTGGATGAACAATAGATCAGGCTGAACAACAGGTCAGTGGTTCAAACTCGGCAGTCGCTCCTTGGAAACACTATGTAGGGTCCTGTGAGTTAGAACCAACTTGACGGCACTTATCAACAGCAACAATTCTTTTTTTTTTAAAGCTTTTATTGTGAATTGAGTGGAGGTTTACTGCGCAGAACATCAGTTCTACATTCAGTAAATCACTGCACTGATGACAATCCCCTTCATGCACCATCGGCTAACAGTATTTCATCTATTAACCTTTTTTTTTAATGTACACATATCACATTGAAAATACATATTTTGTTTAAATGTCCAAAGGGCACATTTTTCAAGCCAACCTCCTGCCCGCAGGCACACTACCTTTCTCAGACCCTGGGCCCATAGTCCTCTGCTGCTCTGTCTCTCTATGCCATTGCCTCTGACACCATCTCTGTTGCCGCTTTTCTGGTTAGGATCCTTCGCTTCTCTAATGTTCTTTGCTCTTGATGGTCTTAGGGTCCTCTGTTCCTGAAACAGCTACTCCACCCCACCCCTATCTTTTAGTTACATCTCTTCCACATTTATAGTTGTGACCATTGCTATTAGTCCTGATAACAGTTACTTACAATTGAATCATAAAATCCTATCTCCATCATTGCCAGACCCATCTGGACAAGAGGAAAATTATTCTGTGGGGAGTTTATCTACTCCCCTTGTTCTGACACTAATCAACCTCATGATAGCTTGAAAACCCTATGGAATCGTTCTGCTTTGTTGTATAGTGTCACTATGAATCAGAAGAGTCTCATCAGCAGTGGACTTGGTTGTTTGGGTTTGGGTAAAATGAGAAAGATAAAAGCAAAAAAAAAATAACATATATTGGCAGGATGTGGGGAAATTGGAACCTATTGGAGTCCTGGTGTGACGCTGTAGCATAAGCAGTGGGCTGTTAACCACGAGGTTGGTAGTTCAAATCCACCAGCTGCACCCTGAAATCCCTATACAGGGTCGCGATGGTGTGGCGCTGTGAGCTAATGCATCAGACTGCAGTGTTGTTTGAACTGCAAAGTTGGTGCTTCAAGCTCACCAGCTGCTCCTTGGAAACCCTATAAGGGTTGCTATAGGTCAGAATCAACTCGACGGCACTTAAAAACAATACAACATGACTCAGTGGCACTTAACCACAATATCCATTGCTGGTGTGAATGCAGAATGATACAGATGTTGTAGAAAACAGTGTGGCACTTCCTCAAAAAACTATCAGTAGAACTACTATGTTGTTGTTTGTTGTTAAGTGCCATCAAGTGGTTTTTGACTTATAGCAACCCTAAGTAGGGTTTCTGAGGAGCAGCTGGTAGACCTGAACCCCTGACCATGCAGTTAGCAGTCCAGTGTTTATCCTACAAAGCTACACCAGAACTACCATAGTTGTTTTTGTTGTTAAGTGCCATCCAATGGATTCTGACTCATAGTGGCCCCGTACTGGGTTTCCAAGGAGAACCCGGTGAGTTTGAGCCATCATCCTTGTAGTTCAAAGTGACCTTGCAGTCCAGGGCTTATTCTACAGTGCTGTGCAAGGAGCGGCTGGTGGGTTTGAACTGATGACCTTGTGTGAACCGATGACCTACAGCGCTGTACCAGGAGTCCTCATAACTACCATGTGATCCAGCAATTCCCATTTCTAGATATGTGCCCTAAAGATTTGAAAACAGAGACTCAAAAAGAGGTCGTTGTAGCGCTATTCGCAGTAACCAAAAGGTGGAAACAACCAAATGTATAACAACTAATGAATGGATCGACAAAATGTGGTACAAACATACAGTGAAATAATATTAGCCAGTTGTCGTCGTCAGGTGCCATTGAGTTGGAACCGACTCATAGCGACCCCATGCACAGCAGAAC